TTGCAACGTCCTCGTTGCGCCCTTAAACCAATCTCAATCAAACCCCAGAATCTTTTCCCCTGCTAAATGTCTGCCCGATATCCAATGGATCAGCACACTGTCGCAGGGTTGCTCTGATACCATCTGTAACACCCCGACCCCGCAGGCCCCGAGGTAGTTACTCCAACACACCCTCCAGACCACTACAAGCCTTTACCACGCACTTTGTCCTCACTCATGCGCGCCCTGAGAAACTTCCCAAGGGGTCACCCATCCCAAGACTACTCCCGTGCAAGCACGCTTAACTTTGGAGTTCTTAGCGGATGAGCTCCCTTAACTTGTAACACCCCCAAATTTCCCACCCAAAACAATACTTTATTCAAAAGAAATATTGACTTTATTTGAAAACACCAGAGTTATGCAGCGGAAAATCAAAAGGAAATAGGGGCGTTACCGCCACACTCGGCTCTAACCTAACCGAGTGCACAGGCTAATCACCACATAAACAATTAAACTCAATAAGTGTTTTGAAAATTAAATTAAACTACGATGTTATCCGCTAATTACATTTTCTCTAGCGGAAGCTCTCTCTCTCTCGAAATCAACATCATCAACAAAGCATTACCTGTACAAAATCAAGTACAGAAAGAAAAATAAAAGAAAGCAAAAATTAGCAACAATGCTAAGTAAGTTCCACCTAACCCATAAAATAAAATAATTTAATATTTAAAAAAAAACATTTACGATGAAAAATCTTTTTAAAATAATTTATAAAATCTTTTCACAACATAATTCACTAGTAAAATAATAGTACTTCAAATATAAGTAAATATTTCTAAACCACAATAATTACAAAATACCAAATATACATAAAGTACCAAAATTATTCTCAAAATACTTCTAAATACTCAAAATCAATTTTAGCATAATCAAACCGAATTAAATCCAAAAGTATTTGTACTTTGAAATTCCACAAATAATTTGATAATTCAATCCAACTCAAATTCATCAATCCAATAATCCAACAACTCAAATCCAATCCATTCAAATATAATTCTCCTCAAATCCTCAAAACATCAATCCAAATATAATTTGTACTCCTAATACATTTGAAGGGCGGTGCTCAACATTTTATTGAGCCGGATGGGTCCGTTGTTATGTACGGCCACCCCGGGACTTTTGCCGGTACCACTTCTAACCTGAGGAAACTGAATCTCTACCTTAAGTATTGTTGAGGTTTGTTCCCGAAGATCCGAAAGCCCAACACAAGCTTTGGATATTGTAGGGATATTGGGTTGGTTTAGAAGGTGTACAAAATATAAAATAGTGAGATATTATCCAACTCAGGAGCTTACTTGTATTTAGTAATTATGCAATTACACTGAGATTACCCGAACGGTAGTTGAGTATGAGAATACAAGAATAAGGGATGTAAATCTATTGCTAAGCTCTGAGTATTGAAATGCTAACCACCTTACAATGATCTAAACATGGGTATTTATACTAAAATGGGGATGGGTAAGGTGGACACGTGGCCGAATCTGGTAGGCTGTCACCTCTGCCATGTAAGCACTCATGCCCCCACTTGCAGCCGCCATGATCCAGCATTAAATGCGGCTTCCACTTGCTGACTGCCCGTTCGGGTATGGTGTTCGGTGAGTGGGACCCTGCCATAGATGTTATCTTGTTTATGAGGAGTATCCCGAACCCCGTTCAGGAACCAGCTATTTGGTGCTTTGGCGTGATTGTTTCCTGAGATGCTCCAAGTAGAAGATTCGCCCCGAATGCTGATCGGGAATCTTGGGCTGCTTTGGGCCTGCTACTTCTTTCCTGTAACACCCCGATTTTAGCAATCCAGTGACATTAATCTTTTGTTTCATTTAATCAGTTAAATATGTTTCTTTTGTGAATAATGTGATTATTGTGTTATCATTTTGTTTATGGCAGATAACGTTGACCGATAAGCTCCAAGAATTTCAAATAAATAAATAAATATTGTTCTAAAGTTTTAATCAATTTATCTTGAAAGAGAGAATATTACTATTATTTTAAGCTCGGGCAAAAGCATATTTTTTTTTAGAGTATTAGGAGCCCAAATCAAGTTCAGCCCAAATAAGTCTCTTATAAACTACTCCGTAAATCCCTAGAGAACCCACACCTCTTTCTATCCTAAGAGCCGATACAAGTCTGTCATCGCTCCATGGCCTCTACCCTGGTAGTTCGTATTTTCCTCCTCCCAAAGTGTTTCCCATCTAGGCTGCTGAAGTTCATCAACTCACCTCAGCCTTGTAGCAAAACTCTTGTCTGGTAAGTTTAGTAAGTTTAGTTTCAACCGTGTGTTTATGGCAATTGTAATGGGGTATTTCTTGTATTGGATTATAAGGAATGCTTCCAAACATTCAATTCAATTCGTTTATTCAAGGGTTAGTGGACCAATTTTATCCAAATCATAAGATGAATTTATATCGTAAGTTTTGTTTGGTCAAGTTGGAGTAAGCTGCTGCATCTCTATTTAGTTTCAAAATGGCAGAATTCAATAAATAAATAAAAATGGCTTTAGTTATTGTTTTCAGTATACCATTCACATTGCGGATTATGGTTTTCACTTATTAAATTCTTTCACCTATCCTGATCTCTAGAACGCAACAGGATTGTTATAAAGAGATCCGATTTCAGCATGAACATAAAGTTTAGTCACAGAGTCCTGGTTTAAACTTTACGGGATTTTAATTGTATTATAATTAATAAAGTTGATTACATGCTTCACTTTAACTTTTGATTTTTTTGCCAGTATTCCGTATTCAAAGATAGTGTGAATAATTTATTTTAGATTGGTATATTCCAGTATAGTCACAACCCGGTTCTTATTTTATCATTACATATTTAATTAAAGATTTAAGAGAAGAGCTTACCGGAAAGACGTTATCAAGGTGCCACACTTATTTGAATATTTTGATTTCAGCTCCTAACAGGTAAGTTCACTACCACCTTTACATGTTTGTTCAACCAAATGCAAGAAAGAAGTCTGGTTGATTTTTAATAGATAATTTTAGACTATTTGCTATTATGTGAACTATGTGAATTATGTGAGGAGTTATTTTATTTGCTGGATTAAGTTATGTTTATTATCTGGCATAGTCAAGATTTGTTAGTATTTTAGTTTCCAGATTGAATGATGTTTTTTTAGTCAAATGTCACCATAAAAAGAACTAATACTTAAAGTGAAAGATCAAGTGATATGTACTCGGGAACTAGATCCCTCAGATTAGCAGTTTTAGTTTTAGATAGTCCGATATGTTTAGTGGGTCGCTCCCCTGAGCTGTCGGATTGGCGCCATTGAGTACATATCACGGGCCCACAGTTAAAATTAGCCACAAAGAGTTTACAGAAAGTTTATGAGATCTCTTTCAGAAAGTTTTACAGAAAGTTGTTTTTGAGATCTCTTTCAGAAAGTTTACAGAGATGTTTTTTAGAAAGAAATTCTAAGATCTCTCCCGCAGTTTTGAGAAATTATTTTAGAAAATATTTCCTTTTGAGATCTCTCTCAGAATGTAATTGAGAAGTTATGTGTTAGTTGTTTGTTCAGTGCATGCTTATAGCCTAAATTTTATCTATTGATAAATTGGCATAGACTTCTAGATATTTTTGTGGATCCATAGTGACTTACTAAGCGTAAAGCTTATCAGTTTCTTTCTTCGCATGTACAGTTACTAAAGGTAAGGCCAAGGCCTAGGAAGGTGATGAGAGAGTGGAACGCGTGCCAAGATGAGTTGACGGGGACGACCTTGGCGGCTTCCAGCTAGCTATTATTATGTCTCATTATTTTAGATATTGTTCTAAGGAGTTTATTATTATTTTTTTTTTTTATTTATGGTTTGAAGTTTGAATAATTTCCTGGATCCAGGTGGTTGTCACATTTGCTAGTGATAACTAGAATTTTAATGAGTTTTATTTGGAGTTACATCTTAGGTATATTGGAGACTTTATCAGGGTTATTTCTTAAACAAACGGTCGTTATATTACAGTTTATTTTTTTAAAGTAGTATGCTAGTGTAACGATTCCTTTTACCCTGAGAGGGGCGTTACATTTCCGGATTTGGGTTAAGGGATATTGGGCCTGGACCCAATATCCCAACACTAGTCCCCCACTTCCTATGTCGCGAACGGTAGCGAGTGCATAAGGAAGTAGAAGATTTTTGCCCGAATGTTGTTCGGGTGAATATCGGATGGTATTCTGCCGGTTCCCGAGGCATATTCTGACGGTTATATGCGGCTGCCGTTTTGCTTCCCCGATAACCGTCATTATTACTCGAGAAAGACTCTCTGCATGACACGTGTCCCTGTCATTATTAATGGAGACGTGTCTTTCTCTGATTGGCCGTTGATTCGGTGTGACAGAGTATAAATAGACTTCTCCAACTTTGATTCAGGGTTTCGAAACTTCGCATTCCTCGGCTTGTTGCTCTGCCTTCTCTCTAGATTCCAATTGTAGCTCTTGTTCAGGTACCTTCTGGACTATTCTCTCCTTTAATTTCGTCGTTCGGTCAGTATGGCTTCCCGTCTTCATTCTTCCGAACCTTCTGCTTCAAACGCCGGTTCTCCAGAGAATAATGTTGTACCAGATATTGCCGTCATTCCTGCAGAGGTCCCTGACGATGATGCTTCTCCTTCCCGGGCTTACTCCGATGGTACCCATTCTGGGGACGAGCTGGAGGCTATGGAAGCTGGTCCTCCAAACGGCGTCTCCTGTCATAAACTTGACCTAGTACTCATCAGGTTTAGGCGTCAGAAACTTACGGCCCAAAATAGGGCCCAAATTCAAATGTCGATTCCCGATTCTGTGGATTTCCGCCTTCAAGCGGGCCTCCACCCAATGCGCCACTTCCCTGGGATGGTTGTGGTCCATTTCGATTCCCTTAAGGCTGGCCTTAGATTCCCACTTCACCCCTTTTTCATCTCTTTTTTCAATTTCTATGGCATACTACCGGCCCAAATCATGCTGAACTCTTACCGAGCTATGGCCGGTGTCATCTGTCGTTGTGCGGGTGCCAAGGTGACCCCCTCTCTTGATCTGTTTCACTATTTTTTCTCAGTCATCCCTCAACAGTCCCATGGGTTTTTGGTAGTGAGTGCCAGAACGGGGCATATCTTGTTCCGTGAAGCTCCTTCCTCCATCAAGGGTTGGAAGGATAGATTATTCTTTGTCTCTGTCCCGAACGGCCTAATTCCAAGAAAGTGGAATGTCTTTCCTCCCAAGTCCCTCGAACCCTTCATCTCCGAAGATCTTAGTAAGGACATCATTGTTGTGGAGGCTGGTGGCTGATTCAAGATTATGTCCTACCTAACTCCCGAACGGCTTATCAAGGCCGGGATAGGTACTGCCCGAATTCCTGGACTTACTTGACTGAAAACCAAGTACCATGGCCCGGGCGGTCCTTCCCGTGTGAAAAACATTTTGTTTATCCATGTGCGGACCGCTTGGTACTAATATTCCCTTTGTTTATTTTCAGCTCTCAATCAAGGCAAAACTTCAGACCCTGAAGGAGCAACTCCCGATCAGCCAGAAGCTATGGATGACAGCAGGCTGTTTACCGTAGGATTTGATGATGAGCCACAGGTCTCCCCCCCTGTTCAGGAAAAAAGGAAAACTAAGAGGAAGAGGTTGAGAAAAGCCGATCAGTCAACTTCCTCCCAGGCTGTTCCTCAATCTACCGAGCAGCCTGAACCAGCTCAGGAGATCGAGCCTGTCCAGCAGGTTTCCCCTCAGCAGCCGTCCCATGCTGACATACTAATGGACCAATTTTTCTCTGATCAGCAACCGCATTTCTTCTCTGCTGAGGAAATGGCCGCTCATCAGTCTGACCTGGCCAGACAGCTTCAGAGGATCTCCCTCAAGGATCCCGCCCACGACATGTTGGAGCGGGCGGGTTGTCCGGCAACTCGGATCTGGTCCACTTCTGTGGATCTGAATGATTTTACTCTTCCCGAGCTTCCGGTGGAGGAAGCAGAGGAATGTATAGCCCTGTCCGCCCTTAAGGTAATGTCTTATCCCGTTTTTTCCTACTATTATTTTTTTTCTTTTCTGATCACGCCTTTGCCTTAAGTACTTTTGATTTGTGCATAGATGGGGATATACAGTTTGAAGCTCCGTGAGGCCCGGCTGGCCAAAGAAAGAGGGCTCATAGTGGCGAAGGAGGAAGCCGAACACTCCCTTTCCTCAGCTGTTCGGGTCGCTGAGACTGATCGGCAGGTAGCTGCCGAGATTCGGGCAAAACTGGAGAGCGAGCTCGGGGAGCTCCGTGTGAGGGTAGCTTCTCTCCAGGCTTATCTGGCGGCGGCCGAATCCGCCCAAGTGAAGTTCTCAGAGTCTGCTTCTCAGATCCCGGACGGTCCTCCTGAAATAACTGTCGATCTTTCCACCGTCCGGGAAAACTTCAAGACTTCGGCTGAGTTCCGGGCGTATGCCCTTGAACAGCTTCCTGATGTCTTCGGGGAGCATTTGGTAAAGCTGACCGGTGAAGAGCGGCAAAAGGAGGGGGTCAGGGTGTTTGATCAGCATCTGGTGACCAAGGAATGGGCTGAAGTATTTGCCCGGGAGGTATACAGCTCCGGGTGCCAGCACATGCTTAAGCCGCTCCTCCCCCTTCTAGAGAAGCAATTAGTTCGTCCGGCGCAGCCATCCGATTTCCCTGGTCTGCACCCCCATCATCTGAACGCCTTATCCGCCCAAATCAAAAAATGCCGGCGAGCCTTGGGGATGGAGATTGTCCAGGCCGTTGATGAAGAGGAAGATGATGATGAGGAGGAGGACAACCCCGATCAGTAGACTAGATATTTCCTTTGCATTTCTATTTCCATTTCCTATTATTAACTATTTCTTGTAATTCCCGGTCAGTAGAACCGATGAATACACAACTTTTGCCTGTTCATTTTGACTTCATCATTTACTTCTTATAGCTTTACTTCTTATCCTTTTATAGCGATCGGGTTGCCTGATCGAGAGGATGTCCATTAAGCCCAATGTTTAGGGCTCCACGATTTCACCGTTGTATGTTGACTTTTTTATCTGATCGGGATGATGCCAAAATGATGTCCTTCAACCCGTTCGGCATACAACCACAATTCTAATATCTTCCCAACCCGTTCGAGTTGTAAACCTTTGTAACTTTCTTAGTAATTATGTTCACAGGCCTTCCTTTTGAAATGTTGGTAGTTGCGTTCAGCATTCGGGACGTAGTAATGCTTCCCTCGCTGTATCTATCAGATTGTACATGTTAGATAACCATACTGTTCGGGTATGCTCACCACCCCAACTGTAACTATTTTTCTGGGGTATTTTATTCCTGTTCGGGGATGCTGCAACTTATTCCCCGCATTGAGCTTTTTAACCTTGTTGAAATTAAGATTCCCTGTTCGGCATTCGGGGCATGACTTATGCGCACGTTGGTATCTTTTGTTCTGTTCGAGACGACTGTTCGTAGCTCTTTTACCTCAAGTTTGCGAACAAGTTTGTTAATTTCAACTCCGTTCGGGTGTTTACCAACCCCAGGTGATGCTTTAACTCCTCTCAATCGTCTTGACACGTGTTTATCAATGATTTGGACTTTTGGCGGTAGCATTTCCCTATATAAGGACGCAGCTGCTTCCTTTCATATTTTCTGCTGCTTCTCAATCCCTTCAAGCTTTATCTCTCTAGAATCCTTTCCGTTATTTTATGTCTGCCTTTTCTGGTTCTTCAGACTCCGAAGAAATGGTGCCTACTTTGATTCGTCGCTCCAGGGGAAAGGCTCACCCCAAGGATCAAGGAACATCTACCCGATCATCGGGTTCCAATGGGTCCTCTGGGACACCTCATCCCGAACAGCCCCTCCCCGATGATGGATGTCATTCGGGTGATGACCTAGCCGTTTATGAAAGGGGTATGCCTGAACGCCCCCCCCCCCCCCCCCCCGCTATAGTCTGAACTTTCATTGTATCAGGAAGCAGCGTCAACGCCTTCCCGCGGATGCCGAACAGACGCTCCGCCAATTATTACCGCCACCCCCGTCAGTTCTATGCGGGGTTTATTAAGCATCCCATGCGACATCGTCCGAGATGTGGGCTGGTCCATATGGACGCACTGATCGCTGGTCTCCGGTTTCCCCTACACTCGTTCGTTGTGGAATTCCTCCGCCGGTTATCAGTCCTACCGGCACAGTTCGTGCCTAGTACCTACAGAATCCTGAACGGATTCATCGTTCAGTGCCATGATCTGGGGATTGCCCCGAACGTTGATCTTTTCCTGCATTGCTACGGCGTTCAGCCTTACTGGACCACCGGGTACCTGCGGCTTGTTGCCCGTCCTGGCCGTTCGCTCTTCACCGACAACCCTACCCCCCCCCCCCCCCCGGAGAAATGGGAGGAACGATTTTTATTCGTTCATGTGGGGTCACCGTTGCCATTCCTTGACCGGTGGAATACTTACCCCGCTCAGGATGTCTCCCCCAAGGTGGATGCGGCCATCCTCTGTCAGTATGAACGGTTTCGTCTGGCCGGTCCCAAGAACCTTCGATCTTTCCTGACTCCTGCTAAAATGCTAGCTGTTGGCATCGGTACGATTCTTTTTAACTTAGGGTGTTCGGTGTATCTGTCAATTCTTTGCTTATCTTTCTTTATTCCTCTTTTTTCTGCAGGTGTGATTCCCTCCACTCCCCCGAAGCGTCCCGCCCCTACTCCCTCTCCCACTGAAATAGTTAATAAGGGAAAGGAGAAGGTTATTCAGCCAGGTTCTTTCTCCGGCCGGGAATCTGGGCCAGTAAACAAGCGGCCAAGGACCGAGAGCGGTGGTGAATTGGTCCCGATTGATCAGGTCATTGATCTGACGGACCCTTCGGTGGAAAGGATGCATGCGGTCCCCTCCCCTCCCAGGCTGCTTGGCAACAGGGGAGGTTCTGCTCCTGATAATTTCCCGATCCCCGATCAGTTGACGGTGGAGTTTTCAGCCATGGGTCCCCGAGCTGAATGCCGGACACTGTTCGGGCAAACTGCATCATCCATGTGGTGCAATACTTCTCTGAAGGCTGGTGAGGGTTTCACCAACCTGACTCATTGGTCCGATCTGGTTGAAGCAGGCCACGCTGAGACCCTTAAGGTATGCCCTTGACTGTTTAGGCCATTCTTCTTATGTTTTAATATTTTTTGGACTTGTTCTTACTGTTGTTTCTTTTTTTCCACAGGCCGGTACATATTACCACCGGGCCTTCCTAGCTGCTGAACGGGAGATGACCCTCCTTCATCAGGAGCTGGATGAGAGCCAAACCCTTTTGGCTGCTGCGAGGAAAATGGCTGCAGATCTCCAAGATCGGGCCAACAAGGGTGACAAGGCCAGGGAGGAGCTGGCTGAATTGGAGCAGAGGCTCCAACGACGTGATCGGGAAATCCGCGATCTACGTGCCAAGGTGAAGGCCGCCGAAGCTGCTGGCCTTAAGATTGAAAAGGCCAAAGGGGAGAATCCTCCTGCCCCCTCTAACGCCGATGCCTCCAAGATCACCAAGAAGGCAGTGATTGATTTTCAAAGGGGGAAAGGCCTGAATATTGCCCCAGAAAATACTGCTCGGGAGTTCCTAGGCAAGCATCTGGGCGAATTTTTAGAGAAGAGCAAGGATCCGTTGCATGATGGCCTCAAGCTTCTGGATGAAACCCCGTCCGGGACTGCCTTTGCCAATGCTCTAGCAAAAGACACTCTTGTTAAGTGCCAGGATATGCTGGTCGATCGAAATCTGGAGGTGATCAAGGAGTCTTTTGATGAGCCCTTTGACCCCAAGGAAGAAGGTTTTGATCCGTTATTCTGCCGCGCTTATCAGCGAGTAATGGAGAAGAGGCAAAAGGCCAAAGATTCGGCCGATCCTTCAAATTCCAAATCTGATGCCACGCCGAACAAGGATCCTCCCTTGGCTTAGTTATTTCCATTGTAGTCCATTTTTTTTTGTATTCTTGTATTATTCCCGGCCAGTAGTGCCGAAGAATAAAGATTACATATTTCTGAATAATCGGCTTCCCGAACACTTAGTTTTTTTTTCACAAGTCAGCACCATGATTAAGGTGCAAGTCGTTCGGTCTATCTCCAGCACCAAAATTAAGGTGCAAGTCTGACGTAACCCGTTCGGGTTATCATCTTGAGTTGTCCCTAAGGCATTCCCATAATTCGTGTAATGCCTGCCATGTTCCAAATCCTTAATCTCAATGTATGCCGTCCGGTTCTTACGTCTGATACCCGACAATTTCCGATATAAGTTAGCACTAAGGTCGAAGTGCAGGCTGTTCGGCTTATTTTCGCCAGCTGTCCGTAGTTTCCCGATCCGCAAGACATTAGTTCTTGCTGCCTGCTGCCTTGTAGGCCAAAGGCTGATGTAACCTGCTCGGGTTATCATCCATGTTTATCCTGATCCGCAAGGCATAACCTCTTGCTGCCTGCTGCCTCGTAGGTCCAAGGCTGATGTAACCTGCTCGGGTTATCATCCATGTTTATCCTGATCCGCAAGGCATAACCTCTTGCTGCCTGCTGCCTCGTAGGTCCAAGGCTGATGTAACCTGTTCGGGTTATCATCCATGTTTTTCCATGTTGCAAGACAGTTCCACAATTTGTGCAACGTCTGCCATCTTCCAAACCCATAATTCCGATGCATGCCGTCCGGCTTTACCGTCCGGGGTCATCCATATTAGGAGGTTGAGATGTCCATCCTGGACCATTGAGAATAAGGCTCCCAATTCGGGTCACCTCCCTATCCTCTGCCAAAATGGAGACTCGCCTCCAGGTTACAGCTCGGGTTCCACCATAACAAATCACTTCGTCGTGGTTCGTGCGAGCTATAGCCAAGGCGAGATTTTAAGACCAGAGTCCCGATCCCCCGCTCGGTCACCCTACGTTTTCGGATTCCGCCCGGTTTGTCCTACTCAAGATCTTTTACACCATCTCCCAAGCTGAGTTCGGGCTTGGTTGACCTGCACCTTCATGTTATTTTTGTGCTGAGATGATGGCTCCCCATGAATCGAGATGAATGACATCTATCGATCAAGGTGAGACTTCTGGCTGAGTTTGTGGGGATCCCGTTCGGCTTGTGAGATTTCACCCAACTCTGGCCTTTGTGGAAGCATTGTTCTCCCTCTTTTTTTTTCAGAGGTGGCAACAGCCGTTTTCATTGATAAAATTTCCGCAAGTGCGTAGCGTTTCATATTCCCGCCAGACGGCCTTCGGTATCCTGGAGGAAAAAGGTTCCAATCCAGTATTTTTTCTAGACCCGGTAGGGTCCTTCCCAACTCTTCGACATTTTCCCGCCCTCTAGCGGCTTGTTTTTTTCTCTTTTCCTTAGGACAAGGTCTCCAACTTCAATCGAACGGATCTTAGCCTGCTTATCGACATATCTCTTTGTCGCTTGGTGATATTCTTCCATTCGTAAAGCTGAGAGGTCCCTTCTTTCTTCTATGAAGTGGAGCTCAGCACGCAGACTGTCCTCATTTCGTTATGGATCATAGTGGATCGTTCTGTGAGTGGGCACCAAGACTTCAGTCGGGACCTTAGCCTGAAAACCGTATGCAAGGGCGAACGGTGTCTCCCCAGTCGCTGTTCGGGGCGTTGTCCTGTATGTCCACAAGACATAATTCAGCTGTTCGGGCCAGGTTGAAGCATAATCTTCGAGTTTCTTCTTCATGCCATCCATGATAGTCCTGTTCATATTCTCCACCTGCCCGTTCGCCTGTGGATATGCTACGGAGGCCCTTGAATGCTTAATTCCCCACTTGGTGAGGAAGTCTTCGAAGTTCTTGCTCACGAACTGCCGTCCATTATCCGTGATGACCTGCTCGGGGAGTCCGAACCTGCATATAATATTTTTCCAAACAAAACGTTGACATTGAAAATCCGTAATGCTGGCCAGGGGCTCGGCTTCCACCCATTTGGTGAAGTAATCAATCCCCACGATGATGTACTTCCTTCCTCCGGACGCAGTAGGTAGGGGCCCTAGCAAGTCGATCCCCCACCTAGCGAATGGTAATGATATGGTCATCGGGGTGTAAAAAGTTGCAGGCCGCCCAGGAACCGGTGCGTAAAGCTGACATATCCTGCACTTCCTCGTGTGCTCGAAACAGTCCTGCTGAATAGTTGGCCAATAGTACCCCTGCAAAATGATTTTTCTGGCCAGGGTCTTTGGTCCCTGATGGCTGGAGCAGATGCCTTCATGAATCTCTTCCATCACAGCAGCTGCCTGAACGGGGGGAAGGCATTTCAGATATGGCCCCCCGAACGTCTTCTTGTACAATTGTCCGTCCACCAGCTCGAACATTGGGGCCCTTCGTTGTATACAAGTGAGGTTGTATACGTCATTTTTATCGTTCGTCAAAGTCCCATCCTTTAAGTAATTTGTCAAGTCAGTGACCCAGCTTGGGACAGCATAGGATATGGCATCTACTTGAAGGATTATTGTTGCCGGTGTGGTCAGTATCTCTCTTTATGCGAACCTCTGGATATGTGCAGGAATGCCTGGGGCGTGATCATCCCGAACGGCACATTCTAGCTTGGACAGGATATTCGCCTCGCTGTTTTCAATTCTGGGAACCTGGTCAAGCACCACCTGTTCGAATTCGCCAATCTGTTCCTCGACCAGTTCCTTGTAAGCTTTTAGCCGTTCTTCCCTGACTTCGGCTGATCCATTAATCTGGCTTACCACCAGTTGACTATCTGAACGTACTTTCAATCTGCTGGCCCCTAGGGCCTTGGCATACTTCAATCCTGCAATAAGGGCTTCATACTCGGCCTCATTATTG